TACACAAGCATGGTAGTGCAAGCGAGATTCTCTGTTTACGGAGCAGACTCCCATCTACTCCGTACCCCTGCACGCACGAATCTTTCTCCAAATCCTACTTACCAGGCAAAGACTAAACAGGTCCGATATCTGGCTTCTCAATAGAAACCAGAGGGATCGGCAAACCGTCTTAGTGTACAGACCCACGGCCCGTACCCCAAGTCTGTGTAGAGAATCAACGAGCAAAATGAATTAATAATAACTTGGTATGCACAATGGATGGTCACAATTTAAGTCTATTAATAGATAGACTAAAATTAATAATAAATGATGTGATGATGAATATGAATATAACAATGAATATCGAATTATGATTTAAGTTTAACTTACAGTAACTTAACGCAGTGGTAGACGCACGCTTTGAAGATGTAGACGTTGATCGATGTCTTCTTTCGATGGAATAACTGATTGGAAAAATATTTTTCATTGTACAATACACATAGAATACATAATATGCACAGTAAATAAATCACTGTAAATGAATCACAGCACATAAGAAGATAAATATCGAAGCAATGGTTCTCGAACATCTGTAACATACAAGGGATTAGTAACAAGAGAGGGGACACAACAATATGCACAGTAAATAGATTAATAATATGCACAGTAAATAAATTAATAGTATGCACAGTAAATAAATTAACAATATGCACAGTAAATAACAGGTTCCTTTATACGCTGGTTGTCGAATGCCTGCAACACACAATGGGTTAGTAACAAGAGAAAGGACGAGTATGAGACGCGCGCCCACCCTCCACGACGGCTCACGAGAAAGTGAGGAAGGTAACGCTGTTATGTATTGGGCGTACGCAGGTTTGTTCCTGTTGAATTGTTTTTGCCGGCTTGAACGACCTTCCTCCTTGAACGACCCAAACACCAGATGGTACGGCGTACACGGCTAGGTCAATAAACTGTGTGACGCAACGTCACTAGCGCGTTGGACCGACGGAGAGCACCGATACCGCGGCACGCTCTACCGTACTCTCTCTCTCTCTCGCACACCTCTCCCCATGGACCCACGAAATTTCTCAACATACATCAACACCGATGGAGAGCACCGATACCGCGGCTCGCTCTACCACTCTAGTTTATTTATGATGTTCATATTCCACAAACAAATATCATTTTTAACTAATTTGTTTAAGCAACATGTTCCTTTTAAAGATTTAGCTCTCCAGTATAAATTCGTAAGACCGTTATTTATTATTCATTTCATATCGTTAAATACGATTTTTCTCACAGGATACCGAC